CTTCAACCCAGACAGCGCACGGCCACATTCCTGGTCAAAAATAGCCACGGAGGCTGTTTAAATCTAACAGATCGATATTTGAATTTTCCGGTTCAAGGAAATTCCCCGACCAGGAATGAGTGCAGATGTCTTTGGTGTCATTAGTCAAAATGCATTAAGTAAAACCGATGTGTGGTATAACACTGCGCACATAATTACACGGGTGTGTTCTGTGGCAGCCATACAGCACTTTAGTGGAAATTAGTGAGCTGATTAAATTAAGCTTTGTCCCTCCAGAGAGAGGCTTTCAGCAGATAAGTCTGGCCCCTTCCAAGGGCTTAACTACTTAGGAATAAGGAGAAATGTGCTCTAAAATGTTTGTTTTTTTTGTCTGTTGATGGAAGAACACCCTTGTGCATCATCTGAATCCCGTGTCTGGGTCTTGGTCAGTGACTGTCCTATACTGCTGTGTCGTTTTGTGTGTGCGGTGCTGTACTGCGTCAGGCACACTGACGTCTCAGATGAGTGCGGTACCGTTCCGAAGACGAAAGGCTTTGACGCCGAAGCCTGGAGGGGGCTGCTGTCCACTCGCTCACCCCTAGTACCTCTAAGTCGTTGGTCTCTCCCACTCACCCCTGCGCTCAGTCTTGGGGTAGGGTCCCATCAGTAGGACTCTCGAACCCTCAACCCTAACCTCTTCCAGTTCCAGGTGCGACAGGCACGTGTGGAAAGGGAAGAACTCCTTTTTTTTTACCCAGGGACTAATAATGTGCTTGAGAGGGAATTGCAGCTCTCTGCCACATCCCTGTCTGAGAGAGAATGAGAAACCTGCCGACTCTCCAAAACTGAAAGGGTGGGGGGTGTGGCGGCATCGCTTTCAGGCCTCAATCGACGGCATTAATCAAAACCATTGACGTTCCTCGGGTATTGATACTCCTGCAGCCTCCGCAGGTTGAAATGGTTGAAATTGGGCCTTTGGAGTACAATGCACAATCCCTTTTCACGAATGCGATATTGATATCCGAAGTGTATCACAGTATTGTTTCTTTAGCCTTTTTAACTGTCTGCTCTTCTATTTAACTAGAGATCTGTGTGGCTTTCGTTAGTTTCTAGGCCAGTCTAAAACGTCCCTATAACCAGAAGTCCGTCTAGAGTTACGATATCCGCACAGCGTCGCGTCTGTGGTTTTCTTTTTAGGAATTCATTTCTGGCGAGTTTTCCGGAGTTGCATGGATCTCCAGATGTTCTCCACTCGTGCCCCATTGATTTCATTAGCGGCTTGGGATCCGCTGGATCTCAGGTCAAAAATCAACTTCCAAGTCAAGGTAGCAGCCCTGGGTAAGCGACTGTCCGTGATCGGGGTCATAGGTCGCTGGGATCGTGTAACCGTGGTGTAACGAAGAGTTGGGGGAGGGGAAGAAGAGGACAAAGAGCTCTGGCACTTTCCACGGGCACAGTCTCTCGCAACGCCAGCATGTCCGTCCGCCAGCAAGGCTTGAATAATGATGATCATTTTCACAATACTCCTGTTAACTTTGCGATTTTGACACATCTTAATCATTCGTTGCATTTTTGCAGTGCTTCTCATCCCCAACGCAGTCCCAGAGCTCTTCACATACAGGGGCGCCCCTTTCGTCCCCCGTGAAGTGCAGCCCCACCTGGGTGACGCACAGCTGCCCCCGAGTTCCCCTGCTCTTACGCGTGTGCGTGTGCGTGCAAGCTGTGGAATCAGCCTACTACTTTTCCCACTAGTAGCAATTCAGTAGTTTTCCACTAATTCGGCACATTTGATTGTAGTGTGTTAACCGAATTCTTGACAACGCTTTTTAAAAGGAAGAGAGCTTTGTGGTCTTTTGTTTCGAGCTGCTCGTCGCCGGAGCCCTCTCGTTTGTCGGTAGTCGTCCTCACCTGGGAGGCCGCCGGAGGGGGACGATTTCACAGCCGGGGTGTTAAAGGGGAGGGGAAATTAAATTCAAGGCCACAGCCGTTACCATGCAAGAGGAGGGGGCCTTACGACCAGCCTGCAGCGTTACTGCGTTGTCACACAGGTCGATATGTACCACCGCCCCCCTTCTCGATCGGGATTCTTTCTTTGATGTCATCCGGCGCAGAAGAGCCGGTCTTGCAAAAGGAGGAGAGAGAATGAAAGAGGTGAGGGGGAGGGGGGGACGGAAATGGGTTGTGAAAGGAGTTCATTATGTGTAAGGATAATGAAGATTGAATTTGTACACATTGACAGTCTGAAACCGTTCTCATTTCATTATTTCGACCGGCGGAAAAAAAAAAAATCAATTATGACTCAAATGATATTTAAGAAGGTGGAGGAGGAGGAGGAGGAGGAGGAGGAGGGGGTGTATTGGTTCCGTTGTGGTTTGGACAATGTCGTTTTCCGGCTGTTCGGTTTTTGGCCTTCGCCACGATGGACTCTGGACAGGGCCGGAGGGGTCAGGGCTGGGGTCAGCAGTCCGGGGGTTGGAGGGGGGGCGTTAAGGTCCTGCAGGTTTAATGGCCAGTGGACACCCCGAAAACATAGAAATGGGGCTGCGCTTTGTAAACCCGGGCGGCCATGCTAAGTCCCACAGCTGGTCGGAGCCACTACACTGACCCGGGAATGTCACAGCTCATCAGAGCCAGACAACCCAGATGATCTTCAGCATCTCTGAAGTCTCTGCATACCAGGATAAGAGCATGGTGTAATACCTGTGCAAGTTTCAGCTCACACCCATAGCCACATCTTCAGTTGGGCTGAAACCGGTGCCAGAGCTGTCTGTAGGCGGTATGGGTGATCATTGGTGCCCGCTGCCTCTGACGAATTGGCTGCTTAGCTCACCATCCCCGGGATTCTCTTCTAATTCTGGGATTTAAGTCCTGAACTCAGCGCTCAGTCATCGAGTTTATTCCCGGGAGTCTTCGGCTTGTTCCCGAGCTCGTCTGTTCCCTCGAGTCTCTTCCAGCTTCTCTCGCCACCTCGGCTCGTCTCCTTGTCCCGGCCTTCGCTCCGGCCCTTGGCCGTGCTTCCAGATTCCCCTCGGCTTGTCTGACCCCTGCGTTCCCAGGTGGACCCTTGTTTGCGCTCAGGCTGCAACTTGCAACTTTCATTTTCCCTTTCGCCCGTCGCTGGCCGGTCGCTCCGAGCCAAGCTGCTGGATTCCTCCTCCCATCCTTTGGCCACTGCACACCCCAGGTCACTGGGTTTCTGTCACGATCGTAAACCCCTCCTCTTAAGGGCGTTCCAGCCCTTCCTTGTTTTTCACTCATCTCCCGCACCTGCTCCCTGTTCCAGCCCCCTTTATAAGCCAGACGCTCACTCTCCTCCGGGCTCTGCTCTGGTTCCTGTACCAGGCAAGTCCGGGACCTGGAAGCACCTGGTCCCATCAAGGTTTTGGTTCCTGTTCCTGTCCCTGGTGCCGGTCCCGACTCGGTTCTTGTTTTAATCTCGTCTGTCTTGGATGGATCGCCTGGCTTTGGACTTTTGTCCTGTTTTGGATTCTCCTTTTGGACTCAGCTCTGGACTGTTTGCCTCGGTCACACCTCCCCCGAACACCAGCGCACCATGGACACGCCCCCCTGTTTTCATTCCCGACTCCCGCATGTTTTTTTCCCAGTGTTCTCCTCGCTCAACCCCGTGATTGTGTCGTCTTCATAGGGTCCAGAAAAAAAACGCTTGCGTTACAGATTCTAGGAGCTGAATCGCTAGATCTTATGCAGGCGTAAGAATCCAAGAAATTGACTGCACCACTGCAGCTTTGTCTGAGGGACCCCTCATCCTCTGTATAAAGATGTCCAATCCAGTCTCATTCCTCAGGGCCCTTCTTCACCCAGCTGGATCCTGGGCTGGATGTTTTGCTGCTGATGTTCAAGTTGATCTCTGCATTGTGAAGTGGATCTCTGGATCAACTCCGTCTGCACCTTGAATGCCAGTATAAAGTGATCACCCCGGTCCGGGTTAGGAAAGGATTCAGTTGTTTCAGTCTGTGAATGACCAGCCTATTAGACCAGTTCTTTGAAGAGATGCAGAGTAGCACCGTCTTTTTGGTAATTCGGCAAGGAGAGTTGCATTTAGAAACAAAAATAGTTCTGCTCTTGGTTTAAGGGTGACTGTGTGGTTTGCATTTGACTGATCAGGGCTCAGCCCTTGTTGTCCAGCGAAAGGCACGGAGTTATGAGCTGCTTTCGTTGCACCAGGAATATGAATCAGGATGTGGTTTCCTTCCAAAAACTTGGAAACTCTCCAGTGCCTCCTCAGGCGTGCCGTATTGAAAAATTAGTGTCTTTTGCCCTTTTGCCTTTTCTGCTCAAGCGTACAACCGTTTTGACCTCTGTGCTGTCCGGAATTGTTCATGGGGGGAAGGACAGTACCTGAATCCACCCGGGAAAGTTAAGCAAGATGGTCCTCTGCACGCCAGTCCTCACTCTCGCTGTAAAAACCTGATAATTGCCTGTGCAGCACAGCTCGCACAGCTGCAGGAAACAAGCTTTGTTTTGCAGGCTTCAGGAACACTGCATGTTTCACGTTGTGGGGTGTCTGTAAGAAACGGCGACTTTGGTGTCAGGCTGGGGAAAGTTAATTGAACATCTAAATTCTGCTTTTATTTTCTGTGTTCGTGCTTTGTTTAATAAGAGATTCATTCAAATTTAGCATTATTGTCATACACTTTAATTAGAATCCCATCCTTTCCCGAGACTTAAAAATGTTTCTGATTAGGGTGGGGGTGAGGATCAAGGCAGCAGTGTGGAATGGTACGAGGCTCTGCACTCCTCTTGACCAGAGGGCTGCGGGTTCGAGTCCTGGGTGCGACATAGCTGGTTTGCATGTGAGCGAGTTGCGTCACTCGGTCACTGCAGTAAATACCCTGCTGCATAAATGGAACTCCAGGTCATTTTCGATGAATGTTCCTGGCAAAAAGAAGGAATGAATAAAGACAGGGTGGGAGGAGACCAAACTAAGATGCAGGACAAGATCTGTCCTTGTTGACTGGAACTTCTCATGACCTCTCTCTCCTGTCCTGTGTTGTCACCAGCTGCCCGGAAACCCAGCGCCTCGCACTGGAGGATGCAGAACATTGTGCAGGAGTCCGTGGAGAGCTCAGATGAGGAGTTCTTCGATGCCCGAGGTCAGTTCCTGAGATAACCCTCCTCGTTCGTTCCTCCGCTGTGGGCTCTCTGAGCAGACAGATTTCCGCTGTCGTGAGTCCGTAACGTCAGCGGCTTGTCTCTGCGGCGCCTCTGGGTGGTGGGGAGCGGACCGAGCCTGTAAAATCAAGCTGGAAAAAGAGAGCTGCTTCCTCATACCGCTGCTTCACAGTCAGGCTGCTGCTGGATGTTTGTGCCTGCTTTTATTCATTTTGCTTGTTTGCTTGGTTAATATTTTAGCAGCATAATTTTCTAAATGCATAATTAAGGGGGGCTGTCTGATCATCCTGTGGTTTGAGATTACGGTTTCTCATTATGAAGAGTGGCTGTGCAGAGCCTGGCTTCTTTCACCAGTGTTAGTGCCTGTTTTTCTGTCCCTTGAGCTCACTGTGAACATGCCTGCAAATCAGCACAAAACTGTTATGCAAAAGAGCTTAGAAGCGTGAGGAGGCCTGTTTTGGCACTCACAGGTGATGTTTTGTAAACACCCGGGGCATCATGGTCAGAGAGCTTCAACACGGGCTGCCCTGTTGGTGTTCATACTGAGCTCTGCCCTTCCTGAGGGGCTGAGGAGGCCTGATTGCGAATATCAGCCACCAGCAGAAAAAAAAGGGACCTTTTGGCGCCCGAGAAGGTGTTACGACTCCCGCACTCCATCTAGGGTTTGTAATCAGACCCTGTGCGAGCGGTAGAGGAAAGGGAGACGCGCTGGAGGAAAGGGAGACGCGCTACTGTGGAAACAAACAGGGGTTTATTTGCGCAGCAGGTGGGGACAGTTTGTGCAGCAGGTAACAGGGGAAAAGACACAGGTATCCAAATCCAAATGGGTCCATAGACGAGTCAGGGCACAGTCCAGGAGTCCGAATCCGGCGACGACTCCAGGTTAAAATCCCCGGAAAGGGGAAAACCCAGACATGACAAGACACTGGGGGAGGTCCTCCAGGTCCTGGGCTCAGGAAGTGGGAGATGTCGGGGATGAGGCCTGTGCCCTCGGGCATCCAGCAGCCTGGTGGAAGGCAAACGTTAGATCCATACCCTAGCGCTGAGCCCTGAGCACGGGAGGCGCTAAGATTAAATAGGGAGGGTACAAGCAAGACACACCGGGAGGATATAAACAATGACCTGGACCCAGTAACGAGAAAGCAGTGGAGCGCCCCCTAGGGGAGGGGTGTCGCCGGTGACGGAAAGGGTACAAATGAGAGGAGGCCATTCAGCCCACGTAGCTTGTTTGGCACTTAGCTGCTAATTGATCTAAACCGTTAATTGAAAGATTTCCGGTTTCAACAATCGGTCAGCTTGTTCCACATTCCCATAATCCTTCGGGTGAGGAAGGGGCTTCCTGTTCGCGGGTTTAAACGCCCGGTTCCCACCCCTGTCCTGGGGTGCGCGTTTCTCCCGCGGCCCCGAGCTTCTGCCCCGCTCCTGTGCGGCACGGTCGTTCTTGAGGCCCCCCTTACGGCCTATGCGAGACCACCGCTTCGGACGCGCACTGTGCCCGCTGAAGCGAGCAGACTCCCGGGGCGCCGCCAAGGCCAGAGACGGGGTACAGCCCCTGGGTGTTCCCTTTCCTAGCCCTGCCGCACTTAAGAGCATGAAGAAGGGGGGGGGTTTTTGGCCCCTTTTGTTGTTCTTGTTGCTTATTTTTTTTCCGTTGCTTATTTGCCCCCCGGAATGCTTCCATTAGTCTCTCAAAGGAACCCCCAAGGGGGTGCGTGAGAGAGCCAGAAGTTTAATTAGGGTTCTGTGATGTCCGTTCCCTAGTCACAGAAAAAGGCGGGGGTCTGTTCGTAACTGCCAGATCTGCGGGCAGGAGTGAGGCTGAGGAGAATGTTAAACAGCGCTCTGACGGGTTGCGGCAGCCTGAGATCCCCGTCTATCTTAGGTCTGAAAAAAGGACGTGTCTGGGGAAAAAGAGGACGTCTGGTCCCCCTATCCTAACCCTCGTTAGGCGCAAGTCTGGATCTAGTGGTGTGGAGACTGGGGGGGACATTGTTCCCCACCTCCACCGCAGAAAATATAACTTTTCTTGATCTCCAGCCTCCTGACACCCGATCCGAGTTCCATGAACGCCGCAGACTCGAATGAAATCCCTTCTTGATTGGCGTCGGCAGGTATTGGAGTGTCTCGGGAAGTTTGATGAATGGGTTAGAGGCTGGATAAGTATTGGGTTCTGCCGATGGCTGTGCTGCAGTCTGTCGGCCACGTGACAAAGTGAGCTCGAATTGAAAGCCACGCGCGCGCAGGCCAGATCTGTGTCTTGTTCCCAGTGTGGAAAGGCCTTGAACACCCTCTTGCACAGAAGGCAGCGCAGCCCCTGCGCTCTCTGCCGTCTGGTGTAGAGGCTGCACTGAGACAAGCCAGTGCAGGGAAGAGGCCTGGCTGCTCAGCTGTGTAAATACAGAGCTCTGTTCTCCCTCTCGAGAATCTCGGTAGCGCAAACAGCAAACCTGAGGACACTGCTGGAAACTGAGGAAGGTGGTGGTGGGGGGGGGGGGGGGGGGGCTTTCTTTACACAAAGGGTTGTGGGGGAATGGAACAAGCTGCCCAGCTGTGCAGTCAAAGACAATACCCACGGTTGAGATTGCAAACCCAGGCACCTCAACTCCATTCTGAATTGTCACAAAAAAAAAAAAAACAGAATGAAAGCTGTGAGCCAGTTTTGAGGCTCCCTTACCTTTTGAAAAGCAGGGAAGCAACACGCAGGACACGGATCGCTCTCAATCAAGCTGGTTCACCGGGACAGGGTCTGTGCGCCGAGGGCTGGACTGCAAGACTGTATCCTCGGGCAGACCTTCCGCAACCTTGTGCTAACCTCAGCTGAAGGACCTTCGGGAACCTTCGAGTTTTTACATGTTTTTTCATCTGACCAAACCACGGCAATTAAAGGAGAAGGAAAAAATAAATTGCTACTCGTCAGTAAAGACAATCTCTTTCCTATAGATGTTCCTTGTACTTTTGTCCCACCCTGATGTTCCTATTAACCCAAATGTACTTGAAACCCTGAAGAAGACAATCAAACACCCACGGACTTGATCACGATCCTTTTCCACTAGTCATGAGGCAGCTGATGTTCATGGAGTACCTAGGTAGGGTGAGATTTGGGTTAACCCGTTCAGGGCCAGTACCCTGGCTTCAGGATGAGGAGGCTGGGGACCCCCCTGCAGAGATCTTGACCTAGCTGCAGCTGCCCGGGAGGAGAGCAGGAAGAATGCATGAGGAGAAATATGAAAAGAGGGTTTTTTTGGTGTGATGTGCAATCGCTCTGAGAAATGACACTGGGAATGATTATGATTTAGAAAAGCTGCGGCGCACAGCTTGGTTCTCCTCATCCCTCCCAAGTTCCCGTTTCCGGCAGTGAGATCTCGAAATGGAGGCTAACAAACTCCGGGGCGCCGGGGTGAGTAGGAAGTAAAAACTCTTCCCTGCTCGTGAGGCTCTCGGGGGGGGGGG